TCAGTGTTCATGACATTCGTACAATGCTTGTAATGTCAGTCATTTTTGCTGTAGCAGTCAGATGGACATAGATGCAAGGGGTCTTGGCAGGAGCAGGTGTATGGGTAATTTTGAAAATTGTTTGAAAAGGAGAAGCAGCAGTTTAATTTGGCTCATACAGTGAACTGGAAATAGTGACCTACTGCAGAACTGATTGATTTAGTAGGAATTTGTCTCAGTTCTAAATTAGGCTGTGTTAGATGGTGGTGGTGGCTTGGACAAGTTACTTTTCTGCATACAGGAGACTGGGAGTAAAATGAAGTGGAGGGCCTGTGTCATATCTTAGCAGGTCCCTTCAGGTTGGACTGGTGGTGCTTTGATGGCCTTGTCTTAATAGGAAAAAAGGTGTGTTCTTAGCTTGAGTTAGCTAACGAGGTAAAAGACTAGTGAAGACAGGCAGCTTGTAGTTTTCACACAAGTTAGTTGGCTGAGTAAAAGGACTAGACACTCCCACTGAAAGCCTGTCCTGCGTTGGATTAGGAAGCAGTAACACTTTGTAAGGCCAGCATGTATGAAATGATAAAACTTCTATTAATGTGTGTGAGACATAGGAGCTATGTGCCACCCTGCAGAAGTGCTAAAAGTAGCACAGACACCTAAATTACAAATGCAGCTAAAGGCTTAGTGCTATTAACAACCCCCACAACCCCTTTCAGATATTAAAAATCAGGAAGGGGTGATATTAACATCAAATGAGGGGAAGACACAGAAGCTGGGGTGGGGGGTATCTGGAGGATAGGGATGTGAAAGTTGGAGCAGGAGAGAATGGAGTAGAAGACATGGCCAGGGAAGGTGAGACTGTCAGGCAGGGAGGAAAGCAAGAACAGACAGATCCTGTAGAATGGGGTCCCAAAGTGGCTGCCAACAATCCAATTTTTAGCAGCTGTTTGAACTGGCTGGAGGAAGGAACTGTAGCTGGCTGGTGAGAGGAGGCTATTGATGGGAGAGGGAAGGAAGGAAAGGCAAACCACTGTACAGAAGTTGGCTCTATAAAGAGAGAGGTCTGAGTGATGTATTCCATTGAAGTACAGTAGCAAGCTGTTCCTGGCATGCCACTAAAGGGTTTAAAAAGTAACTATATTGTATGACCCCCATCAAATCACAATGTTGCATTGGTAACAAACAATACCATGCAAAGATTAGAAGACAGGGAAAAGCTGAAGTACTTGATATGATGCCTGGGAAACACCATGAAACTTCCTATAGAAAACACATCACAGGACAGGATTGCTGTAGGTAGCAATATAATCATATCAACAGCTGAAGCAGCTCTACCCATACCTCATGTAGGAGTGTGGCATTTACATGGATAAAAAGGGGGTTGGATTGATTGTTTGATTGATTGAACAGCAGCATGGACCAACGTGTGTGCCTGTTCTCCAGCTGCAGGCACACATGCTGGCCTATTTTGCTTTTCATAATAGGGTATCTGCAAGTTTGAGCTTAGCTACACCAACTGTGTTGTGCCATGTGTGTGCTGGTCAAAGGATGTGCTGTGCCATACCCTTGATACTCCATGTATTTACATACTTTTTCATGGATTTCTGCTGCTCCTGGGCTGCCTTCCATGCAATGGTGCTGTGTGGTCCTGAACCAATATGTTCCAATCATTACGATTCCATGGGGCGTGGGAGAGTGTGATGGCCGTCTGCTGCTGCATCTTGAAAATACCCACTTTTACTGTATTGTCAGGAGAACAGACAGAGAAAGATACAGAGAAGTTCAAACTGTTGGGGAAAGTAGGAATCCTATAAACTTTTGAGTGAAAACTGTTCACATTCAGCATCTGTATTTTTGGTTGTTACCCAAGTGTCATCAAAAAAATAAAACACAACCAAACAGTACATATTATGTAACTGTATTTTTGTTACTACTAGAACAAAACACTACATTTTTATATTGTCACCAAAACCCCTTGATATAAATAAAGCTCTTTTGTTCCGCTGAGTACATTTTTATTTCTCTCTGTATTTCATAAACACTAAGAAAATAGGGTCATTGCCTCATAGCTACTTCCATAGTTGGTTTTACTCTTTGAAGTCTTTCTTTCAAAGTTCTCTTTCAGACTGGCATCATCATGATTTAAATGCACCAATGACTAGATCTTACCACCATTGAAATGTACCTATTGACAATAATGGGAGCAGGATTGGGCCCATATGCACAGTTAATATAGAACTTTTAAAAAAATTTCTCATTGTCTAGTCTTACTACTTTTACTATTTAAAAGGGTAGCCTCAGTTAACTGCACAATATAGCATTTTAGTTTAATACCACCTTATTTGTAGAACATCAGTTTTAATTCTTTACCAAAACAACTTTTGAATTCTCTTCACAAATGATCTGCCTGCAAACATTCATCAGAAACTGACATGCCATTCTGAGCTACAATAATTATTTCTTAGTGCTGTATGAGGGAGTTGGAATTTTTTGTCTGTGCTTAATATAATACTGAGGAGTGTGGGGAATTAGTGAACTGGTTCTGCACACTGTGAAAAAGGAAATTCCTGTTAGTTTATTTCTGTTTAATACTGACATATTTCAACCTCTACTAAAAGAGAGGACAGTGGACTACAGCAAAGAGATCACAATCAAAACAAATGACTCATTTCCTCATAAAAGAACTACAGTACTGAGTATTCTACATACCATGGCCCAGAACACTTCAGTAATGCTGTTGTAAGCTGTAGTGTTCAAGCCATTATTGTGGAATTCTGGCATGCACTAAATCAGTGTAGGACCTTATAAAGTAACAATGATTTTGTGATGAAGGCATAAGACCTTGAGTCTGAAAATCTGGGTTCTGTTCCTGACCCTGCCGCTGATTACCTGCACAACCTTCCTTAGTCACTTAATCTTTGTCTCAGTTTCCCCATTTGTCAAACAGGGGTAATAATAGTGATTTCACTCAAGGAGCACTGTGAGGCTTAATCCATTAGTATCTGTAAAGTGTTTAGAACTCTTTGAATGGAAGTTGCTCTATAAATGCATTAGTCTGTTGTTTGCATGCATTATTGTATTGTATGCAAATATATTATTAGAGTTGTTGAAACAGCTATGAAAAAACATCATGCAGAACAAGCCAACGATTTTCCTTTTTCCTTGAGATTCTTTATCAGCCTTTGTGTTTGTTCATTTTGTCTTGAACCAGTGCTGCCAGCATGAATTCCTTGGGGTAGTGTCTAACAAAGATCATTCCCCTGGTGACTCGTTTGTCATCCTCTTGGCTACATTAGGAAGCTTTAGCTCCCAAAAAGCCTTGTTTCACATATTCAGACAAAACGGTTTAGGTGCTGGGACATTGCACTCTATATGATTTTATAAAAATGTGCTAATGAGTGTGAGTATAAGGTAATTGGAATATGCTTCATGCAAAAGGTCTCTTGTAAGGTATCATTACAAAGCTTATAATCTACTGAGTGTGGTCATCCTATTTGTATAAATATATCACTCTTGTATCTGAAACTAGAACTATGAAATATAACTCTGAGGGCCTACTGTAGTTATGCAACGTGTGGACCATTAATGGTGGTTTGGAATCTTAATGGCTCCCATTAACCAGGACAATTGACTGTAGATGGCTCTGTTTTACTTGTAAGTCTTCCTGTATACCTGTGTGCTGGCAAGTGGGTAATGAAGTCTTACCGTGACATGTGATCATGTCACCTGAACTGGAATCCATCTTTAACCTGGTGTTTTTCCATTGAGAAGGAGGGGTGGGAACCCAGAGGGACAAAGGATTCCCACCTTATGCAAAAGATATGTAAGTGGGTGGAACAGAACAAATGAGAGGGCCATCATGAGAAATCCCCTAGCTACCCCCTGAGCTGGAACAAGGCCTGTACCAGGGAAAAGGATTGTGCCCAGACTAGGAAGGCATCCAGTCTGTGAAAGAAACTTATTGAAACATCTCTGAGGGTGAGATTTTATCTGTATTCACTTTTATTATTGTACTAGGCTTAGACTTGCGTGTTTTTTTTTTATTTTGCTTGGTAATTCACTTTGTTCTGTCTGCTATTACTTGGAACCACTTAAATCCTACTTTCTGTATTTAATAAAATTACTTTTTACTTATTAATTAACCCAGAGTATGTATTAATACCTGGGGGGGGAGCCAGCAGCTGTGCATATCTCTCTATCGCTATTATAGAAGGTGAACAATTTATGAGTTTACTCTCTAGATGCTTTATACAGGGTAAAACGGATTTATTTGGGGTTTGGACCCCATTAGGAGTTGAGCATCTGAGTGTTAAAGACAGGAACGCTTCTTAAGCTGCTTTCAGTTTAAGCCTACAGCTGTTAGGGGATGTGGTTCAGACCTGGGTCTGGGTTTGCAGCAGGCTAGCGGGTCTGGCTCAAACCAGGCAGGGCACTGAAATCCCAAGCTGGGAAGGCAGGGGCAGAAGTAGTCTTGGCGAGGGATAGCTCAGTGGTTTGAGCATTGGCCTGCTAAACCCAGGGTTGTGAGTTCAATCCTTGAGGGGGCCATTGGGGATCTGGGGCAAAAATTGGGGATTGGTCCTGCTTTGAGCAGCAGGTTGGACTAGATGACCTCCTGAGGTCCCTTCCAACCCTGATATTCTATGTCTCAAATCAGTTGGCAACCCCAAGGGGTTTCTGTGATCCAACCCCTCACAGGTGCTGATTCTGCCAGCCTGACCAAGAATCCAGTCTGTGGAAGTTCGAGGGGGACGGGACTTCGGAGTGAACCGGACCTGAGTCCTGCTGGCATTGTAACCTGCATGCTGCAAGGAAAGCAGAGGGAGAGAAAGCGAGTGACGTGTGATGACTGCACCTCGCCCTGCATACAGGCGTGAGGGATGGGAGAAAGAGCTGAGCCCACCCCAAGGGAGTGGCCAGCCACGCTCCTTTCCCCCCCCCCCCCACAGAGTGGTCCCAAGGGGGCCGTGCAACACGCCGGGGCGCTTGCTCCCCACAGGTGGATGCTCAGGGATTGCTCGTGCCGGTGCCGCTGACTCCCAGGCGCGGCAGACGGGGCTGGCGCGGCTCGGGAACTGGCTGGAGAAGGGGGACGCGCGTTCCCTGCTTGGGGAGCCGCTGAACTTTGGCCAGCCAAGGAAAGGGCCGTTCACAAGGGAAGGGGGCTCCCCCCCCCCCAGTTAGACAAGCGCGCCTGGATTCAGCGGCAGTCCCCTCCGCTCCCCCGGGGAAGCCGCCTGCACCCCAGGGAGGCGGCGGGGCGGCTCCTTTCCTCGAAGCCACCGTGGGGCTTGTTGAGTGCTCCCCAAAGGTGGCTGCTGGAGAGGAGGAGGAGGAGCTGAACGAATGCCAGGGGCCGAGGCGGCAGCAGCAGCTCCAGCCCCTTCACTGCACCAACCTGCGGGCTGGCTGGAGAGGGAGCCCAGCCCCTCCCTCTTCAGCCGCCGCCGACCCCGCGCGTCTGCCTCCGGCTCAGGGTCCCAGCCAGAGCCGCAAGCAGCCGCCTTGCGCTGCGCCCGCTCCGGACTGCAGCCGCCGGCCGGCGGGGGCAACGAGCAGCAGCGGCATCTTGGAGCATCTGCTGTCCGGAGTCCCCCTGCTCCCCTCCCACCTCACACCTGCAGCTCGTCTTCCCCCTCCCTCCTGAATTATTTCTCCGCCTCCCTCTTTCCCTCCCCTCCCCCACCCACCCAACCTGGTGCCTCCTAGTTCCTTGATTTCCTCTGGTTTTCCTTGGACTCTGCCTTGTCATGTCAAGATGGAAGTCAGGCATGACTGGCTCGCCTCTTCCCCCCACGAGGGCTTCGAGCAGCTGAGGCTGAAGAGCCGCCCCAAAGAGCCGTCCCCGAGCCTACCCAGAGTAGGAGCCAACTTCTACAGCACTGTCAAGCAGCAGGACTTCAGTGCCAGCGTCTGGCTGAGGAGGAAAGACCAACTGGAGCATGTAAGCCAGCTTCTGATTCCCCTTCTTTCCTTTCCCCACTGGGGCTCCTCCAGCAAAGGCTAGGGAGGAGTGAGGGGTGAGCTTCTGTGATCTGTTGGCGAAATTCCCAAAGGATAGAGGAGGAAAGAAACGAACCAAAGGTCCTGAAGCGGCCCACCGAGGTAAATAGCCTGCCAGAATATAGTCCCCAAACTGCTGTGTAAAATGTGAGTGGGAAAGTTATGCGGAGCCTGGGAAGTTACTGAACATCCCTGCAATATTTCCCAGCCTCCTACAAACTGAGCACTGAGGAGAGTGGAGATGTATTGGGAAGGTGGCACTGGGGCTGACTGCTGTGTTGGCTTGTAATTTATCTCATGTAGGCCTAGGATTGTTTAAAAGAAAACATGAGTGTAGATTTGATTTTTTTTTTCTTCCTATGTGGGACTTTAAAATGTTAACTCTGTGTAGAGTCCTGGAGGTTTCCCTGAAGGATCAATTCCTGCAGTGGTATTCTATGACTTAACCATGTGCCTTTGGGGCCACAGCAGAACTGATGCTGTGGATGGCTGTAGTGAATATCTTATGTGGTTGTGAGGTGCTTGTGAGTAGTGCTGTGGCTCATCTGCTTTAAAGCAATGTTGTTGTTTTGCTTTATGTAACTTTTAAAAGCAAAGAACTGAGTTGAGATAAATTGCATGGTGTGTTAGAGTTTTCTGAATAGCTTTTTAGATGAAGCCCATGGTTAGTGTGTAGTATAATCAAAATAAGGAGATAGATGCGTATGGATAGGGAAGCAAAAGAGGCTGGATGGGTTTACATATTTTAACAGTCTGCAAATTATTCACTAATGGAAAGGATGGGAGACAGTGACAGAGTTAAAAATGACTGAGATACATAGAAAATATTACATTTGGTGTAAGCCATGTTAGGGTTTTTTTCAGGTAGAAACCCACCTATTAAAAGCATAACGGTCCTACTGTTGCATGAAAATTATAGATATTACATTAACACCTGTTTAAGATTAAACCTAAAAACAACTGGTTGATAAGGTGTTAAATTTCGTCTCCACCAAATTGTATATTATAAAAATATTCCTTTTGAAGTACTTGTACCTGTTAATAAAATATTAAGTATAGGTTGTTTACAGTTCTAATAAAATCACAAGAACTGAAGAACTGTTGGAAATAGAATTCAATACTTCTCAAATATTTGAAATGTTCTCTCTACCTTACTACACATCTCCCTGATTCTTCACACTAACAACAAGGCTTCACAGTAGTAAGCTCATAAGAAGAGTGTTTTCCCATTGTGAGTCAGAAAGAAAGGTCACTGCTTTATCTCAGGAGGGCTGTGTGTTAATACATAAAAAGCACAGAAATCTAACTATTGGGTTTGTAACTGGTTTTTGCTTGTAACATCTACGTGTTGATTATCATTTGCCAAGACGTAACACGACTACCCCATCTATAATCAAATCAACAGATAATGAGCCACTGTTCTGGTATCTGAACATTAGCATGCCCAAATATACAGTATATAAAATACATAATAAAAAAACCTGTACCATAGCATTGCCTAGGATGGGCTAAATAGACTTCACTTGTTCGAAGAGAACAAGTGGAGAGCCCCCACCCATTTTTTGTGTGCTTATTTATTATAAAGTCTGAACTTGGCATAGCAATCAGAAACAGAGCTGCAACATCAATGTGAAAAGGTTTCCTGTAATCCGTTTCATATTAATGGGGGAGGGATAGCTCAGTGGTTTGAGCATTGGCCTGCTAAACCCAGGGTTATGAGTTCAATCCTTGAGGGGGCCATTTAGGGGTCTGGGGCAAAAAAAATTGGGGATAGGTCCTGCTTTGAGCAGGGAGTTGGACTAAATGATCTCCTGAGGTCCCTTCCAACCCTGATATTCTGTGATTCTCATTTGAGCCAGCTATTTCATTCCCATAGCACATTTGAACACTGTTAAGAAAAAATAATTGGAACATGGATATTCCTTGCACACAATGAAATATTTGAATACACATTTAAGGGCTATGTTTATTATGAATACATTGCAGTATACTGTATGTACCAAGTGTATACATGTATACAAGTAGATACTTTATTTTTATGATTTCGGATCATTTTAACACTCATGAGTGGTGGACTAGAGACACAAATTACTACAAAAAAAGAACAGGATTACTTGTGGCACCTTAGAGACTAACAAATTTATTTGAGCATAAGCTTTCATGAGCTACAGCTTACTTCATCACTTACTACATACCTCACCTCAATGAGTATTTAATCCCAGAATCATGTGTTTTTGTTTATAAAATACTTGGTGCCATGTAATTATTTTCTGTTTTTAAAGAGGTGGTAACTTAGCCATTTCTGCCTTTTTTTTTTTTTTTAACAAAGGGTGTAATACTTTGAGGTGCATCATTTTTAATGGCCTATTCACTTATGTAGTGATGTTTCTGACTGAGACGATACTACAGATATACATGCTGAATGATGTAGATGGAGGATAGGTATAATATTTTAGTTTGGTGCTCTCTTCTGATACAATCATGCTATTTCTTCTGTGCTAAGAAAATCATTCCACTTAGGAGTGAACCATGTTATGTATACCATCTATGGCTTAAAGCTAAATAGATATAAATAAAATTGATACATATAGTAATGGCAGATGCAGGTAAAGGAATATTCTATAAACACAGATATGCACGCACACACTCTGGAGACATAACATTTATTTAAATGTTATAAGTCTATTGGAAGCATTATTTAAACTGATTTCAGTGATATTCACTTCTATAGGTTATCAGCAAGATTTATTGACCAGAGAAGTTTCATTGAAGTCAATATTTATCTTAAGAGTCAGAAAAACAACTTAATGGAATTATGAAGTAAATATATGTATCTCTCAGAAATACTTATAAATCTCTTATGGTTATGAATTTCAAAACTGTAACAAGTTTTTTTCTTTTACACTAAAATGTAAAGGGGAGATGAAGTTAGAGGTACAGAAAACAAAATACTATAAATATCCCAAGCTTTATATGGAACTCACTGCAACCAGTCAGAATGTACTCATTTACAATTCATCTGATTTCTTAAGTGATTTCTTGTTCCATATCTTACTACTATTGTCTGATCCCTAAGGAGGTAAAGCTCTAGAAACGTATTGCTGACTTGACTTTTTTTACATTAGTCTGGATTTCCTTCTTCCAAGCTGTAATGGTATAGTTTAAACATAGGTTATCATTAGTTTGACAAACAACTTTTCAAACCACATCAGATTTTAAAACAAATCACTCATATTCTGTTTCTTGGCTAAGGACCAAGTGCAGCAAGTATCTCAGCACATGCCTAAATTTAAGCATATGATCTGTCCTATTAAAGCTTAAAGTTAGGCTCATGCTGAAGTACCTTGCTGAACTGCGGCCTAAATGCATAAATACACTGCAGTTAATGGGTGAAAATGACATTAGGTTAGTTTATAGTTTAAAAGGGGGGATTTTTCCATATGAAGACTATAATCAAAGAACCTTGTCTTCTGGGACAAGGTTCTTAAATCCGTATTAGAGATATTGCAATTCAGAATCACTGTGTAAGTGAAATCCCTCACATTCTACGAATCTAGTTTAGTCATTTTCTAATGCCTCCTGTGAGATTATTGGCCTGGTAAGTGACACAACTGATTGAAGACTTGCCTGAAACCCTTAGATCTCCTCCTTTTAGAAGTATTTTTTTTAATGGACAAGGGTCCCCTTTGGCTCCATCCCCTATTTTATCTTTTCAGTGAGATTTGAGCTGGAGTGGAGAGGGGAGGGAGAGAAATGTTGTGGGTGACCTCTGAAAGTACTTAGTTGTGCTGATAACTATCTGCAGTTGGGTTAAGTCATGGCAGAGTTCTTCATACTCTCTCAGCAACCTGGTTCCCTCGGTAACAACAACAGAATATATTTATGCAGCTCCCTCCATATGGGCATTGCAAGGTGCTTTACAATAAAACCTGTTTAAAATGATCAATTTTTAAACCAGACAAGAGCAATTCAAAGGAAATGTTTCTTGAATGGTTTTTTTAAATGTGTAACAGATTAGAAACTGAGACTAGAAACAACATAATTCTACAGTTGTGAAGTATTATCGAGTCACCCTAATTAAGGGTGCGTCAAGGTTTGCATTTAAAACGGGTTCAACCTCATTGTTTTGTATGATTAATACAGTGTTTCCTTTTTTAAATATACACATGTAATGGTGAACAAAGACTGCATTTTCTAATGATTTAGAAATAAACTTGTTGATAATTTTTGGGTTAAAATGTAATTAAAAATGGGCCTCAACAATGTTTGTCTTCAGATTATAACTTTTCTGGGGAGCCTGGTAGCTAAAGAGCCATAGTCCCAGAGAATCAAAAATACTCTCTTGCACACGCATACATGCATTAACACTACTGCTCTCGATTAAGCTATATTTAAAAACAAAGAACACAAACAACCAAACAAAAAATGACAGCAAAACATTAGGTTGTTATCAAGCAAAGTTAATAACAATGGCTGTATCATCTTTCTACAGTTTTACTCAGAGCTATTTCAGTAGCTCAAGTCATTCTTAAGTTATGTAATTGTGGCATACTTACCCAATCATCGCTATTCAGTTAATTTGCATGCTGCAGTTTTACTGGCTGCAGGGAGGGAATTGTGTGGTAAGCGATGGACTCAGAGTTCCAACTTGCTAACATTAAGCCTTCAGAGTTTTACAACACTGTGGCTGACACATACACACAGAGCTAGGAAACTAATATTTCTCTTAAGTTTCATGGCCATAACAAAATTTAAATACTTTACATTAGCCTACATTTCACCTCTGTATTAGCTGAAATTTGACTTTGACAAATTAAATTTTAATGATTGTAAAACTATTTGAAATTTTCTTTTAAGCAACTGTTTGTGTCTAACATCTGTCATTACATAGCAAAGTACATGCAATCGAAAACTAGGCAATTCATAAGCAAACTACTTTGA